GGTTCTTACTAATAATAATAATAACAATGATGATAATAATATCTAATAATAATATAACTGTATTATATAATGTTCTTATTATATGTATATGTAGGTTGTTAGGTTTTCTGTAGAAACGGGTTATGGCACGATCGACCGGGAACGGTTATTTTTGAGTTGAGGATTTTCGTTTATTGCTTGCACGGGTCTCATTACATCCTGCGAGGGTCACTAGAATTGCTTTGCTAGATATTTAGTAATTTGTGTCCCTCGCGCTCGATAGCCTAGGAACATACCATAAACCACGAATTTCCGAACGGCATATCTGTATGTAACGGTCCGCTTGCCGATGAGTCACCCGGAAGAAATTCCAGATTTTTGGGACTTTCCGCCCACCCCTCACGACCGTTTCCCACCCTTCCAAGGTGACAGCGCGCTAAGGGCGCACTGGAAGGGCGATAAAGACGATATTAGACACGCTGATTGATAAATGCAATTGTTAACCAGTCAGCGTGTCCCAACAAAGATCCCGCTCACGGACGTCCGAGTCGTCGAGTAGTCGTTCAACCACCACGAACAAGGAGAACCAAGGAGCAACCAGCTCATATTTGTTATAACATCACGCGATAGAAATAGATCAATTTACAAGTCTCAATCACATTGGGTGGTCCTTCGAACCAGTATATAGACGGCACAACATCGTGCAAATACTACAAGGCTCGAAAGTTCATTGTAACAACCACGGGCATTAACATAGGCGGTGTGGGGAAAAGGCAATGGGTTCGTAACACTATGCTACAATATTTTAAGTAGTACGAGTCCGAAGTTGAACTCAAATTTAATTACTAGTTTTAATCGAAAGCAACACACAAAATTGCAACGTGCTGAAGGAAACATTGTACGTTGTCTTAAAATTGTCAGACATTATTACTGTAACGAAGTTTAGATAAATATTTGTATCCTTACCCGATGGATGGTGTCATAAGTTAACGGACATGGTGAGAAAAGAATATTTTCAGGTTGCCGAATCGGATTTCGCTTGTCTCCATCAGCACCAAAATAACTGAGACGGTAGGTTGTGTTGTTGTCAGTGCAACAGCCAGCATTTAAAAAGTTATCGGTTTCCGGAAGTATTATTGGGGGACGCCTTTTCGATGAATGTGGCCAATAACTTAATTTGTAAGTCGTGCAGCTCTCCACTGGTTCGCAAGATGGCATATACTGTTGCTTGCTCCATTGTGGTATTTCCTAAAGAATATGTGTAATTATTAGTTACGTTATCAATATTAAGGGGGATACAATGTCGTATTTCTATTAGGAAAACATGATTGGTCTTAAAATTTAATAGATATATAATGGTATACTTTGTATATGCTTCATGTAAATTGAGACCAAAATCATAACACAAATATGATGTATATAAGAGGTACTTCTTCGAAAACTGCATACATGTATACTACAGTAGGATGTAAGCTGATTTCTTATTCTAGCAACTAATTAAGCTTATCAAAATTTTACAAAAAATGAGCTTGTCAAAATGATGGAGAAATTTGAGAACACGGGGAAAAAAGTAAATTTTACCATGATGTACGTCGTTTGGCGTCGCGAAGGCATCTGTTTATGGTGTCTGCACGACGTAACCTTTATTTTTTTTTAGCGCTCGAAATTATCATTCCTGTCAATTATCGACTGCTCGAGTGAGACTCGATCATCACCTATTGTTCATAGAAGAGTAAGTGCGATAACCTTATTCTACAGTGATTGGCTGACTAGGTCCTTATTAGGTCCTAAATCACGCCTGAGGCTTCACGTTTGCTTTGCTGGACAATAAGTAGCTGAATATTGTAGGACCCTTTTCGCTGCTTCTACAGAGTGAGTTAGATAGATACGCCTCGTTGGATTTTAATACGTACAGTCGGTCACCAAAATATTCGGATACCAGTATGACTTGCATTTCTAAGTATTATATTTTGAATAAATATATAATCAGTAACAAAAATGTATTACATTACATTACAGTATAGTATACAGATTACAGAAATGAAAAAATAATTGATTTTTTACCTATAGTTGTGCAATATTACAAGAAAAACTAAAAATACGGAAAATTTCATGTCACAAATATTCAGACACTTGTTATGTTTGAGGAATTTCTTATACTAATGCTAGGTTCTAAAATCTCGGGAAGGCATGTATGTAAACATAACGCTAAATTCTCGTTCCAGAATATTAGAAATTAAACATACTTCAGTCTTACTCCAAATCTAGTAGAATATGGAACGCAAAAGTAAAAATACGTCATTTGGTATACGACAGTTAATAGTTTATCATTATGAAAAGACAAAATCAGTGCGGGAAATGACATGCCTTTCAAAGGTAGCCAAAAGTATTGTATCGGACATTATTAAATGGTATTGCGAAGAAGATAGAATTGATTTCAAACATCAAAAGTGTCGTCCATTTCTTGGTACTCGAGAGCAACGTTTCACTGTTTGAGAAATTTAAAAAATCCTAAAGTAAGTACTCCAAAGATAGCTAACATGCTTCATCAAAAAACTTGGGATTAAGGTACATGCAGAAAATGTACGAAGAGTTCTTACAGATTTAATAGCTATCATGGCCGAATAGTCAGGAAAAACCCATATATTAACGTAATAAGTCTGAAGAAGAGGATTCTATTTGCAAAAGACTACATATCAAAAGGAAGTGAGTAGTGGAACAACGTTATTTTCGCAGATGAAAGTAAATTTGATATTTTCGGCGGTGGCGGAAGGGTGAGAGTGTGACGAAAAAAGGGAAAACTCAATTCAAAACATCTATTGTACAATCAACGATGAAGCACAGTGGTCAATCGGTGATGTTACGGTGCTGTCTATCTAGTTTTGGTATTGATGAACTAGTCTTTATAAATGATATTATGGACAAAAGTATGTATTTAAGCATTCTGAAATATAATTTAAAGAAAAGTGCCACGAATATGAGGATTGGGCCACGAATATAACGACCGCAAGCACAAAGCATGAATTGTACAAGAATTTTTATTGTATAATTGTGCAAAAATGTTACAGCCTCCACCCCAATCCCTCGACTTAAATCCAGATGAACTCGACCGTAGAATCCGTAAAACAACAATAAATATCAAAGAAGAATTACAAAACCAATTAGGAGAAGAATGGTATAAAGATTATTTATAAAAAATAATTCATAATATGCCAGAATGATTAAAATACATTATTAAAAATAAAGAGTACTCAACAAACTATTAAACATTTGTAAAAAAAAAATATTTTTTATTTTGCTACTAAAACTCAGGGAGTGCCTAAATATTTTTCTGACATAAAATTTTACATATTTTTAGTTTTTTTTTTTTAAATATTACACAGTTGTGTGAGTGAGATTACACATGCGTAAGAAATTAATAATTTTTTCATTTTTTTAATCTGTATACTATATCTACTGTAATATAATGTAATACATTTTTGTTGCTGGTTACATATTTATTCAAAATATAATTCTTAGAAGTGTAAATCATGCTGGTGTCTGAATATTATTGTGAGCGACTGTATGTTGTATGTACACTACCGACCAAAAGTTTGGAATCACTGAGCATTGCAATTTACAGAAAAATTTCCAGAAAAAAGTCAGCGACTTTGAGAACTTTTTATCGTTCGAATCAATTGATATGAGATAAATCGATAAATGTAGGATTGAGATAAACTTCAAATCTATAAAAAATTAGCAGAAGATTTAATATTGATGAAAAGTGAGAGGTGATTCCAAACTTTTGACCGGTAGTGTATGTACGTACATAGTACATATGTATGTACCACTGCCCCTTCCAACTATGACCTAGCCTTGCATTCCCTGGAGCAGGACAAATTGCCGGACGCCAAACTAATTTGTAATTTTTTATAACTAAAAAGTAAAGCTGAAATCGCAATTTTTTATATTTAATTTTAGTTTTATTTTGTTATGTAAAATCACTGCTTAAAGTTTCTCCCACTTGCTGCCGAGTATTTTATATCAGAAAAAATGCAGATATAGAACAACTTATGTTTCTCATGTTTCAATACGGCTTATAGATAATATCGAGTATTTGAAAAATAGTTTAGAAGGCAAAATTTTATCCTTTTTTTCCGTTATTTGTGAATAAAAAGTAATTACAAAACATTATTACATCTTATCGAATGTTACTATGGACTTTTATAGAAAAAATTAGGAAAAAGTAAAACGTTGCCAGTGAAGAAATAGAACCCAAATAAAGCAAATAATGAATGCATCGGCAGGTTGATCCTCGTCGATTGAAATTTTTAACAATTTATTACTGAAAAACGAAAAAGAGTTGTTATGTATAATGTTGTTTTAGCTGACAGCTTATCAAAATTTGGAAAGAGATTGCAGATACATTTCGTACGTTCCTCTCGTTAGTGTCATTGAGGGGTCAATTCATATTGGGTATATAATGAGTGTAGAATAATTTTTGCATAAACTATTAGCAATGTGATCAAGTGCTAAGACAAAATTTACAAGAGTTGATTAGAGAGTAAAGATGTATGCGAGAGAATAAGCGAGTATTGAAAAGCGAAAGATCTACTGGTGCATGAAGCACGAACAGAAGTACAATGCAAGGAGAAAGAGAGTGGCGGTGCATAACGACCAAGTGCAATTCATCGACTATTGTAAGCGGACACAGCTATTCTCAATTGAGAAAGTAAAACTTGAAGCAGGATTAAAATAACTAATGGATTATATGTTACAAATATTTACGAGTGAGTTAATTTTTTAAGTCAACGATTTCACTAAGGCAAGACAATGGAAAAAATAAATACGATGTTACAAGGCATCTGTGAATTAATTGCTTTTAGACGTTACAAAATGTAAATCAATTAAACACTGTGATTATCATTTTAATAATTTTTCGATAAGAGTAATGTATAATACATATACAGGGTGTCTGCTTTATCTCAATACAGTGAAATATCGTTTAAGGAAATGATGTTACGAAAAAAATATTTTGTTGTTTGGTATGCAGGGGAACGTTATGTGGTGTAAATATTCTTTTTGTACCTGGTATGATGGGGGAGATTTCAAAGTCAGTTTAATTTTTTTAAATGGAATGCTATATTATTTTATATATAATATGATAGTGTATGTTAAGCCGAGTTCAACGAGCTAGTAGGTTCAATTACTTTGTTAGTAGCTCGTTGAACTCGTCTTAACATACACTATCATAATATGTATAAAAAAATTAAACTGACTTTGAAATCTTCCCAATCGTACCAGGTACAAAAAGAATATTTACACCACATAACGTCCCCCTCCATATCAAACAACTTTTGTAAAACATTTTTTTCGTAACATCACTTCCTTAAAAGATATTTCACTGTATTGAGATAAAACAGACACTCTGTATATGTACCTATATGGTATATCCTAGACAGAATAAATAGGCGCTTAAATTTTTGGGTGACACAGTAAGGATTCGAAAGATGGAAAGAATATTAACGAGTAGTAGGATAATGAGTAGAATGATAAGGGTTATGATCAGAGAACATAAAACAATAGGTGATAAATAATGTGAAAATTATGCTACAGCAATTATTGATAGCATATTTGAATTATCTCATTTTGGCAACATCTGATTATATTTCAACATTAAAGTAATTTACGTACAGATTGTTATGATATTATGGAATATTACATGTGTTATAAGCTTACTCTTGGGGTAACATCATGTGGCCAATAACTAAGCTTATGAGTTGTATGATCTTCCATCGGAATGCCTGACTTTAAGTATTTCCTTATAGGAGCATAAGATATAGCTGGTAAATGACAACCAGACTGATAGTAACTCAATTTATATGTTGTGTCGTCTAAAAGGATACAAAATTATTAATTATTTTGTAACTTTATGGAATACAAAAATTCTTTGCAACCTTTGTAAGAGTTCAACGTCATGTGTTTGGGTTACGTAGTCTGTATCCACACAGAAGTTCCGTTTTGCAAAGCTTTTATTTTTCTGTAATCGCGAATGAGGTCCGCTAGCGGCTAACTCTTCGGACGCTCTGTTCTCATCAACTATTTTAGCTTGCTCCTAGTTGGTTCCGCGTAGCGTTGGCGTTAACCAATCAGGTAAGCTTCTTACCAAATCGCCGTTTCTCCTTCTACGCCCTTAGCGTGCTTTTCCTGGGACCGCGATGCGATTTGGTGGAGGATATAGTGATCGTGGATATTTGGCAGTGCAGCGGAAATTTCCTCCAGGTCCGGTACGTGTCACCTGTATGGTCTAGGCATTTGAGCCCTGTACAGTGGAGACTACTCTGTACTTCGGAGATTCTTGGTTTATGACGCAGCAATTTACTTTTGAGTCCGTCGGTGAAAACTGACACGGTTTTGCCGCAGCCGAACAGAAACTTGAAAAACTCAACACTCGGTTCACAAAATAACTCTTTTATTACTATGGTACAGGTATACGGTTCAGAGGTGACTCGCGGAGTGACTCGAGATGTTTTGGATCTCGATGCACTGAAGTCTGTACTTTCGGGGAAAAATTGATGCGCGGCGTGAAAATGTCTCTCTATTTATTATGTGAGGGGTGATGGAAATTCCTAAAGGAGGGAGGTTTGTGTCATGGTTCGAGGATGAGTAAAGGATCGGAGTTTGAGGGTGAGTCAAGGATCGGCGTTTGAGGATGAGTCAAAGGGTCGGAGAAAAGTATGATTTGGTGAAAAACAAGATAGAAAAAGGAGTCGGTCAATTGGAGTTGGCGTCATTATTGCCTTAGGATACGTGTTTATCCTAACAGTACGTCATAAATTGCGCTAGCCATCTGCATGTCAAATGTTTACCATCTTGTAGCTGGTCGCTACACATGGATGAAAAATGCATCAAAAATTATAGTAGGGTGGTCTTTATTCTTTGCTACTGAAATTTTCTACATCCCCTTCCCCCTTCTCCTTCTAAAAGCATTTAAATCGATGTGTAGCGGCCAGCTGTAACGCAGAAGAAAGCATTTGGCGTGCAGATGACCAGCACGGTTTATGACGTGCGCGCTAGCAAAGCTATTTTTGAGGAAAGCGTTTTAGTCTGTTTAATATTTAGTAAACCTAACAATGCATATTTTCGTAGAAACTTTCACCAACGGTCTCAATAGCAATTTGCCGCGTCATAAACTAAGGGTTGCCGAAAGGTCCGCCGTACGGGGCCCAGAAACCTAGGTCGCATGTCTTGGGTACCGGACCTGGAGAAAATTCTGCCGCGTTACCAAATCTGCTACAGCAAACATACTCCCCCACCATAACTCGCCGCGGTCGTGGAAAAAGCGAGCCAAGGGCGTAAAGGACTAGCGGCGATTTAGAGACAAAGTTTCTAATTGGTTAAAACCAATGCGTTGGGGTTAGCCAATTAGGAAAAAGGACATGGTCGCGAAGCAGCTCGCGAAGTGACTGAAAAAAAGGAATCAGTCAGCATTGAACCTCGCGAGCTACAAGTTCTTTTGCGAGCTACAAAAGATACTTTAGTAAAAACTTTCCTGGGTGGGTACTTGACAACCCAGTCACGCATCAAATCCTTATTCCACAGATGAAAAGATAATGTTTGGAATTTATAAGCTGTCATATTACATACAGTGACTGTCACTTAAAATCGTACACCTAGCGGTTCGGCCGTTTTTCTTCAATAAAACGTGAAAATTGTACTAAATGATTAAAACCCATACGCAGGCATATAGTTTAATGCTTCTTTATTTGACATATAGCAAAACTGTAACAAAATGTTTAGTAATACTTAGTAAATTAGATAAAATTTGTAATTACGTATGAAACTTAGCTGTCAGTAAAAATCGTACAGAAAGAATTAGATACATTTTTACAATAATATGTAACGTAAATAACTTATATTAATATTTTGTAGGGTAACCAAATGCATTTTTAACAGATTTTAGTCGTCGAAGAACTGATTTTACCAAATTTTCACAAAATTGGGGTGTTATATTTAACCATTCCTCTTGTAAAGCTTTTTTAAGACTTTCCCTGTTTGTAATATTGTGTAATTGTATTTTCCTGTCTAATTCGTTCCACACGTGTTCAAGTACATTCATATCAGGAGATTTGGAAGGTGTTTGCAAAAAATCGGCCGAACCGCTAGGTGTACAATTTTAAGTGACAATCACTGTATATGTACTACAGTTTGTAAAATTTGTATGGGAAATACAAAATATTCGGCAACAGATGGAATAAATTTTAAGAAATGATGCTACATGATGGAAATTAAATAAAAAAATAATAATATTCCTATTCGGAGGCTTCGTTTCTTACAGTCAGTTATAAATATTTAAAAAATCGTTTCAGTAATCTTTAATATATGGAAATACAACGTAAACTGATTACCATAGAGTATAGAGCTTATTGTCCATGAGTTAAGATTCTGGTGTGGCTTTCTTTCCATCACAGTATTACTTTACAACAAATAACAATATTTATAGGTACGAATAATACTATACTTTGGAAAAATTTAATTTCAAGCCGATTTTCTGTGAGTAGTGCATACACTTTGTCAGTTTTTCTGACGACAAAGTTCGAGTGGAGTTGTTTTACTGGGGTATAAAGCTTGGGTAATACATACTGTGCAGTCGAAAAAGTCGAGTCAGTGCGAGTAAACAGTGTCAATCTGCTAAGAGCGTAGCGAACACGTGATAGATGTGACAGCTTCTGTTATTAGCTGGCAAACATTAATCAATTGCTGACATTCAAGAACGAACCTGCATTATTGCATAAGACGCGTTAAGTTATTGAGTTCATACTTTTACAAACATGTCTAGTTTTCCTTACATTTGACAATTGCTGTCAAACTCGGTAAACAGGTGCTTATTGGTAGATCTTTTAGATTATACAGACAGGTTAAGACTCGCTACGTGTATATTCTAGATGTTACATATTTATAGAAAGTGTAAGAAAATAAGACTACTTTGAACCAAATTAGGGAAATATTTGCTTAAACCATTGTTACGCACGCAGCCGAACCGAAATGTAAGCACTGAATGTTTAGTCTATCGCGTACCCCCTGGATAGCAAAAGGATTGGGAAACGAAGCGAGCGCATTCTGTGGGAACTAACCTTCTCACCACCGAAAAATACAGTTTTTCGAAGTATAAAAAGCGTTAGGTTTTGACGCTCTGGGGTTCAGTCTTTGATAAAAACATCACTCTGCCAGTAGGAACTCTAATCAAAAGTCCAATCACTCTAACAGAATGTTACGCTGTTAGACGGAAAATCGACCGGAAGCCAGATCGAGTAGTAATCCGGTACGAGCAATCCAAATGTACTCATTTCTTACGTAAGTGTCAAATAGACAACATTGTCTAAGACTTTCCAAACCGCGAATTGACCAATTCAATTATTTAGCTTCCATTATAATTAATCATTTGATCATTGTAACTTGTAACTGCAATCATATACTAGACTATATCTCGTTGTTAAGTCATACTCGCTCATTTCAACCAAACTCATCCTGTGCAAATATTAGTAACGATCAAAGAAGATCAACAACGATATATCTTTACGGCTCAATATACAGGGTGTCCCGTAACTCCTCGAACACCCGGAAATGGGGGGTTGCTGGGGTGACTCTGAACAACTTTTTCCTTTACCAAAATGTTGGATGAAGCTTCGTTTTTGAATTATTAACAAAAAACACTGGCCAATCAGAGCGCGCGTAGGGTTACCTTGAAAGGTCAGGATCGGCACAATGACCCACTTCCGTCGAAGCAGGTTAATTCGTGAACGAATGGGTAACTTTTTCATAAGTAATAAAACACTTTATTCCTTTTGGATAACGCATAAAAGTATCGAAAACAGTTATTAACACGTTGAATGCCGTGGGGGTGATCGGTGACCGGCGGTCTCAAAATTAGTAAAAGCATTTAATTTGAATAAATGGTAGTATTTGTAAAATTTTCAC